CAAGGCCAAATCGGAAATAGCCCTAGTCAGATCATCCATCTTCGTTGTTACCTCCTCTTTATGTGCCTCAGCCGCATCCAGGATCCGGTTGACAGTGGTTTCCAAACAGCCCAACCTTTCGGCATTGGTCCCTTTCCCTTCTAGTTTATAGGCCATCAGAACCGGAGCTCTGATACCAAGATGATAGGTCCTGAATTCGAGAACAGGAAAAAACTCCAAAAAAAACCCTAAGGTTCAATTCTTATTCCTCCCCCTTTAAAACTAGAAACAATCATACTTATAATGTTCTGCAAACCCAAATCCTAAAAAATAGAAAAGATAATAGGAAAGATAAGATCTTATCTCCCAAGTAACAAATAAATACCAAAAATACCAAACTGGAATAAAAATAATTTTATTTTCTCCTCCGATAGACCTGGCCCCACCTACTTGAAGGCGTATCAGATTCTCAAGTTATGTTGTTACTCTTTGTTTGGTTGGTAGAAAGTTAGTTTTTTCAAACTATGTTGCTATTTTTTGATGTGTTGTCATAAATTAGTTTCCACCAAGGAATGATGTTGTAAAGTAGTTGTCAAATTATGTTGTATTGTTGAGTATTATGGACATATTGGGTTGTGCATGTTATCTTAGTCATATCATATCATTAGCTATGCCTATGAATGAGATGACTTGGTAAGAGATAACGTTGTGAGGTCATGATCGAAGATGTGTTGAGCCACATATGGAGTATAGTAACAAGCTTTGACCATTCCATATAAGTTATTGTATAGTAGCGGGTAAGCTTCCCTTGAGTGTGGTTTCAATGTTTCATTATGGATGAGTCTTACATTTTGTTACTCCCACCCCCAACATGAATTATATGTGCATAAAGTCGTATAGTCACTTTTTGAGTTCGTGCATTTGTATGTGATATTCCATTTATTGTTATATTTAAAAACAAGGATGGATGTTTTCATAATAATATATTTACTTGTTTAAAATCATAGTTTATTTAGTCATAACATCTACGTGTCTCGCTAGGGTTTCTAATATTAATTCACAAGGATTAGGTTTGCTTGTTATTAGAGACACATAATGTTGAGACATTTTTGGGTTTATTCATTTAGGCATTTGGATTATATTACATTATACTTAACTTATAGTTTGATAATTAATTATACATCCCTAGTCGTTGATAAACATTTTTTGAAGTTAAAACTAATTGTAATATTTTTGATTTTTCGTTGTAGTTGTATAAAAATAATCCTTTTCAAAGTAGAATGTTAATTGAAGTTTTGTTGGATTAGATGACCATGTGCATGTTTATCTATAAGTACAGCTAAGTCTTGTCTTAAAGTAGATAAATGGTTGATTTGATAGTTGTTGATTGAGTAAAGATCTAATTGAGTCACATCAGTCTTTTATCACATCAATCTTTTATCACATCCGGTAAGAGACATAACAAATGTTATAAGACTGAATAAAATGTTTCTAATTACAGTATCAAATAAGAATCTGACCGACTCAATACTCTTATCAAACCCAGTAAAAATATATCAAAAATATCCTTAAAGTAACGAAGGTTAGGATTAGACTATGTTATTGGTAAACTAGCAAAAAAAAATAAAAATAAAGTAGCTTTACTTTTATCCAAGATATCAATAATAAGAGTGTACTCCTGGCCATTATTGGTTGTATAATCTCATGATTTCCTTGATTCCCAAAATTCATGTGAATGTTTAGTATCTTCATTTTAAGTAATTTTTAATCAATCTTGTTTTTCTAGAATTTAGCGATACAAGTCAAAATTTAGCTTCACACTGTAGCCTTCCAATGCATCTTGGAAATTAATAGAAATTTCTTCTTGGTGAAACCCTAAAACACGTTATTACTTCCTATTAAATCATAGGCTTATAACCAAAAACTGACTGATGCAATATAATATCATAATCATTTTTATATTTCTATATATGGATTATGTATTGGATCATGACAAAGTATTACCATATGACTTATGTAGTTTTGGGGTTTTCTTGAAGAATCATACAATCAGGTTGCTAACTAATACCAAAAGAGATAAAAGAAACTAAGTAAAAATTATTAGACTCTTACAGTTTATATCCGATCAGCAAACACTTGAATCACCGATGACAGTTTTAGGTTGGTGAAGGGCCATTGTAAGAGCTTCCATCGGAAAGAAGGAAAAATCCAGAAGAAACAGCGATTATACACAGCACAAAGCACAGCATCATGATCTTTATTCTACTTGAAAACAGGTGAATAACCATGTCCCTTTCTTCATGCAAGCTAAAGAACTCTTCAATCACCATCTTAACCAACGAATCCAGAAGCTTCTTATACTGTGGATCAATATCAGCTGAATGCAACACCTCGAACATGGATTCCCTTAGATGCTTTACCAGAAATTCTAGTTTAAATGAATCGGTTTGATCTTGTGTTGTAGATCCATCACCAGAAGAAACATGAACTGGAGAAGCTTCAGCAGTTATGGAGGATGAAAATGGAGTCGTTTCAACAGTTGTTATGGATGACAGAGCAGGCGAATCGCATGACAATGGAGTTACAGATGTTGGTGAAGCAAAATGATCCAAAGACACAATGTAGCTCTGAAACATTGAAAATAAATCTAAATTAGTGCAAATTTAAATCGTATAACAAAATGATAGAGCATAACAAACGGTAATCACTAGCCAATATCGATTTAACTTGTTTTGTAAATCCATAGAAACTTCTAAGCAGGAATAAGACCTCATATCCGAAAAATAGAAGCAACCATAACAGGTTTAAGTGGATTGGCAATATACCTCGATTGACTCATTGGATCGATCTCTATCAAAAACGAAAGCCTCTGAGATTGTAGCGATCTCAACCGAGTCTTCTGGATGTTCAAGCACAACGGATTTGTCATGAATACTCGTTTGATCAGAAGTTAAGCTCGTTTTGCTGATCTGAGCATAAAAATAAGAGAAAATGACGAGAAGAACGAGTGAAAATGAAACAATCAAATAAGCACAATGACTTTAAAAGGAAATGGATTCCATATACCTCTACAGTAGACTGATCAGCGTCAACAGAATCTGAGATCAACGGCAACTTCTCGATTGCCTCTTTCTCCGGAAAGTTTAAGCCGACATCCTCCTCAGTAACAGGATTTAGAACAGAACTCAAGTTCTTCTTGACGCTCTGTTACGAAAAATTAAAACAGACGTATACACAAAACATTCAAATTAATAATTAAGAACATTGAGAAATTGTATTAATTGAGATTGTTTGACCTTTTGCTGCTGATGATGTAGCTTCTTCGATGCAGCATTCATCTGTTTAGCCTTGCGATTGGAAGGAAGTGGTAGATGTTCCTTCTTTGGTGTTTGAATTTCATGATTATCCTCTCTCATCTCTCTGTCAAACACGCAAACATGGAGTTCGTTCTTAGCGCCTGAATTTCGAAAGCTTTTTATTTATATATTAGTAGGCAATATCAATTTTTAAGAGTAGAAACTGTGGCCCATTTGTGTTAATTTAAAATGGGCTTAAATCGTCAAACAGTGGGCCGAACTCTTTAGACCGAAAGCTTGATAGATTTAATTCATTTCATTTTGATATAGATATGGGATATTTTGACATGCATTTGGAAAATGTTTCTTGTTATTATCATTTTAAAGATTTCCTTTTTAATCACTAAAACTGATTTCTTTACATTTTTATCCTTATTTTAGGGTTTCCTTGCGATTTTGATCTTTGAAGCTAACATCTTAATTTTAATTTGTTAAGTTAATGTTGAAATGGATTGTTTTATAGATGTGTATCACATTAAATCCTTGTGCAATTTATGTACTAGTGTTTTGTGCTTGACATGTCACATAGACATTAGGACAGGTTTACATAGGTTTGTACCAATGTTTTTAAAAAAAAATGTACATATAAGATTCCTAAAGAAGCCTTATGTACTTTACTACTACCTTTTGTAAGATCATACTTCTTAAAAAGGTTTCCTTTTATAAACTTGACTTCTATAAAGCCATAGATTTTTTGTATTCGGCTAACATTTGTAGTTTTGTACAACACATTATTTTAATAAAAAATGAACTACCATCCTCCTCGATAGTGTTTGTCTATGTTTGTTAGATATTGTTATCCTTGTATTTCTACATCCTATTTTTTCATTTGGTTGTTGGATTAACCTTCAGTTCTTTTCGATTCGTTTCGAATCTTAAGTATATTGTACAAGTTTTTCAGTTTTTTTCGGTTAATAACCGAAAAGGACGAATCATTCAATAATATATTTTATTACATTTCTAATATATTAAATAATCACAAAAACAACCCTCTAAGTTTTTTTTTAAATACCAAACAATCCGGTTCTTTTCGGTTTTCCAGTTCATTTCGGTCCTTAATCATATTGTACATGTTATTCGGGTTTTTCGGTTAACCGAATCGGACCGATTATTATCCGAACCGAACCAGACTCTTATTTGTTTAAATGGTTCGGTCTTCGGTTCCTACTATTAGTCCAATTTGGTTTTCAATTTACTCGTTTCGGTTCAGTTCCAAGCCGAATAACATCCCTAGTTTGCATCATATCCATTTTGCGCTCAAGGTTTGATTTTAGTTTCCATATCATGCATTGCATACTTATACATTGTTTACCTTTATGATGTGTTTATGATATTATTATGTGTTTATATCCTTCATTTGATTGTAACGTTTTCCCCAATTTAGTGAAGTTTTGATAAATTTTGAGCTTTTCAGAAATGTTTCATGACTTTTAAACATAATGTGTTGGTTACTTACTTTTGGTCATGCTTAAAGTAGTTTGCATCCTTTACTTTGCCTCTTGTACTAATTGTTGGCAATGAATGATTGAATATCTACATTTGGAGGCATATATGGCATTTCTCAAGTGGATATAGTCATAAACATTGTCTTTGATATAAACATTCTAAGATACTTAACAACAATACATATCTTCTATCATTTTGCAAAAACAAAACCACCCGCCACATGTTAAAATTTAAGATAACAAGCATAAATAAACCAGAAGTATCAAATCAAACCACTTCAATTAAAAATCTTAAAATTTTCAACTAATCCTTTTACATCCAAGATCTTTTTAATTGTCTCACATAATTCAAGCTAAAAAATACCAAAACTTCATAACAAAATATAAAACCTTAGATGCATCAAAACAAAAGAGCACAAAAGTATCATCGCCCTTCTAGTCATCAAATAAACTGAATCCCATTTCCTGCAAAAACAATATACAACCAAACATGTCAAGAAAATATGAATTATTGAAATAACTCTCAACCTCAAAAGAAACAAAGAATAAAGAAGCTTACATCATCAGACTCCTCCTTCTCCTCAACTTTCTCCTCTTTCTTTGGTTCGGCAGCTGCTGCAGCAGCAGGTGCAGCACCACCAGCGGCGGCAGCAACAGCAACACCACCACCACCGGATGGAACTGAAGCCAACTTTTCCCTTCCGGATGCAATCAATTCAGTGATATCTTTACCCTTGACTTCGGACAAGAGCAATTCAATTCTATCATCATCGGCTTCAGCTCCAACTGCACATTATCAAATGACATCCATTACATCAAAAATCAAAATTTTAACAGATTTAACTAGCAAGTAGCAAAAATCGTTCTTCATCGCTCACAAAACTACTTAGTGATATAGATCAATTGGTATTATGTAGTTTTCACGACAACCCACATCTAATGTAGCAAGTTTCATACAAAGAAACGAAAATACAAGAGAAACAAATCATAGGATGAAAAATCAACGAGCTTAAAGACTGGAAGGCATACCTGAACCGAGAATTTTCTTCAAATCTTCAGCTGATGGGGTAGTGTTACCTCCCAAAAGAGCCAACAAATACGCTGCGACAACCTTCATTCTGCATCCAAAAACATAACAAACACAGTCACAATCGGATTCCATCATCGAAATACAACCATTTACAATAATCACAACTGCCACTCAAACGCCTACACAACTCGTGTTTTCCCGATCAAGCATACGATTATAACAGTATGCAAAGAACGAACAACGAGTTCGTCGGCAAACTAAAACCTTTGAGGAATCACTGAAATTTGTTTTCCAGAACTTCTGAATGTAAGATGTTTCCTAATAGAGGTAGACCAATATTGTTAAGTAGAATACCTGCAATATCTGTTACAGCCGCTGAGTATCTCTTTGCTTCCTTGTGGGCGTTAGGGTTCTTCGGTCAGTTGGAACCCTAACCTCTTTATAACTTCTGTGAATTGTGATATCCCTTCCTATCCTTGTTGGGCTTCGCTTAAAGTATAAAGAATGGGCTCATCGAAAGATTGGGCCTTTTTTTTCAAGTCAACAATACTTAAATAGATTGAAATCAAACATAACTCAATGCATATCTATGGCTTAAAGTATAAAGAATGGGCTCATCGAAGGATTGGGCCTTTTTTTTATATATACAGGTTAACAATACTTAAATAGATTGAAATCAAACATAACTCAATGCATATCTATGGGCCATTTGTTTTGGTTTTATTTCGTGTTTTTGTCTTTTTCATAATTTATGTATGTTTCCTCGGTTCTTGTTTTTTCTCCATGTGATTGGTATGGGTCAGGAATTGCTCGTTATGGTCTACGTGTACACGCCATAACGGCGTCATAACGGGAGGAACACCGCCCCCTTCTCGTTTCTTCTCGTTGTGGGGCACCTCGTGCTCGTTACCACCGAGCGAAACGCGTATTATACCGTTTGAATTAAACTCAAACGGTCAATTAATAAAAAAAAATAACTTTAAAATTAATTATTCTTTTCCTATATAAATACCTATTATCTATACAATTTTTTCCACACAAATCTCTCTTTTTCTCTATATAGTTTCAATTATCTTCAAAAAAATTATGGATCCTTTCGACTCGTCCGATGATTCTGATGACGATATATTTTTCAGGATGATGTATCATTATTACACTAACGAGCTGCTACAACCAGACCCAGCTCCGCTACTAACAAGACGTGTGGTGGTTGTCGAGGCCAACAAAATTAATAACTCTAAATCTTTTACACTAAAATAATGTATAATGGTAAGGGGTTGAATCCACGGAGATTGGTTCATTTTTATAATTCTATGAAAAATCTATTTGTAAAAAAACTTGTTAAAAAACAATAAAAATAAAAATGAGGGGGGGGGGGGGGGTTGGTCTTTTGAAATACTTAAAATAAACTAAAACTAAACTAAGATTTAAATGGACAATTTAACAAAAACAATATTTTGATGTAAAATCAATAAGGGAAAGATGGCTGACTTGAGGTTTCCTCACTTTGACTTTTGATGAACATATCATTAGAATTCAATGGTGCAATACTTGTTTTAAATCTCTAATTTGGCTATAGTAATCCAAGAAGCTTGAGATTACCTAGACTTTTCTTAGTTGTTAAAATGGGTAGAGAAGTTCATAACAATTTTCTTAGTCAAAGTCACAATTTCCATTAAGCATGTAATTAGTGAAAATCAACTAGCATTATGAACAAAAAAGTCACCAAATCCAAGAGGAGTCAAATGTTTTCACTACCATGTTGGAGAAAATGTTTTTATGATTGTGTGAAGTAAAACTAACACAAAAATCACTTGTTGCTTGCTAATTTGAAGATCTTTTACTTAATCAAGAAATTAGCCAACTAATCACCACAAACACATTTAAGCTCATGAATAAAAACATACAAGTAGTGATAAGATGTTAAAACACAAACATTCTCATAAAGATTCAAACACAAGTTCATGGAATCTTCAAAATTCAACCAAAAAGTCAAAGGATTTCACCAAAGTCAACCAAAATTTGTCTAGCCAAGCATGGCTAAACTTAAGAAAACAAAGTTAGAAAAGATTGTACCCAACATTTTACGAGAATCAAAAGATGAAAAGATGATGTTCTTGAGGTGTTCTTGGCATTCAAAAGTCTTCTAAACTCCATAGAGAATGTGTCAAAATCAGATACCCAAGATAAGGCTAAAGAGGCACACCAACCTTCCCACTATAGAGCTCCAAACAAAATCCCGAAAATGCCCCTGCAGAAATCCACGCGGGCCGCGTGGAAACCTTACGCGAGCCGCGTGAGGGTGACGGCTTTTTGGCTTTCTTCAAGTCTTGGGCCTTCACAGATTAGCCCATTTGCCCAGCTTGAGCCCGATCAATTCCTAGCCATTTTTCTTCAAGATTTCTTCAATTTGAGCCGAATTTGCTTCCTCCAAATCACTCATAGCTTCCGCAAACTCCCGATCATCGATCTCCGCACACTCGAAAATTCTCCCACGCCTTGCAAATTTAAAGTTCAAATCTTCCAAGCCTTCAAGTAATTGACAAGCCCACTCCATGACTCACCTCCATAGCCATCAAGCCCAAAATCCTCGTTGTCCTCCAAGTCCAATCGCCTCCCAAAGATTCCGCTCTGCTAGTCTCCGAAAAATCTGCAATTATGCTCAGGAAACTAGAAAGTACCCCGAAATGGTCATAAAATAACAAAAAATGAAAATATGCATGGAAATTAACTAAAATGCGAATGAAATGTGCTAAAATAAACTATAAAAAGAAGTAAATAAAATGAAACTATCAAATCACCCCAAGCTTAAACCTTACTTGTCCTCGAGTAAGACAAGACTAAAATGAACTCGGGATGAACTATCCTAAGAAAAAATAAAAAGAATGGATAGAACCGCGGAACCTGATCACTGTTAGTCAACATGGTCAGAATTGATCTTGCTATTATTTTACGAATTTTTCATCCGATGACAATATAACCATAAACCACAGCCATAACAACTCCTCTAGGTGAGTAAGGAGGGATGGTCAGTCGCAGCCCTAATGGAACATGCATACAATGAAGAACATCTGTAGTAGGGAGAAAGCAGTTGGATGGGCTCGTGTGGTGCTCTTCTTTAAGTGTACACTCTTATCACGAAAGTTGCGTGATCTCACGTCTGTCGGCCACTCTCAAGTGTGATTGAGTTTTATCGCTCGGGCACCGTTGTAGGAATCAGTTCACATAGTGTTGGCCCAAACCCCCCGTAGTATCCGACTCAACAGTCTCTCTAACATCACCAATTTGCGAAAAGAAACAACTCGATCTATATACAATAAGACAAACCTATATAAATAAATATCAAACGCCGGGTGACCAAAATGTAGGAAAATGTGTTCAATAATTGAACCGGTCACCTATCTAAGATTATTGCAGCTTGATTTTTTTTTTGTTCAACATTAACTTTAAGGTAATGCACTAACATATTGATTTTTTTTACTTTTATCAAGAAAACTTTTTGACTCAAAATTTGGTTCCCAAAAATATGTAAGTGGAACCGAGGGAGTAACAATAATAATCTGAATGGTCTAAGTGTAAAAATGACCATGTGTGGAGCGTAAATATGCAAGCTCCTTTTCAAACTTTTGATTTTTCAAAAATAATGAAAATGCTCAAATGTGGGCTATAAGACTCTCTAAAATCCTAAGTAAATCGCAAAAAGAATATGGTGACGTAAAGAGACCGGATATGGATTCTACTCGGGGACAAGCACCAGTGCTTCATCCTAACGGTTCAAACATGATCAAGTGTAATCCTCTCGGCGGTATGGACCGCAAGGTTAAGAACATCCATTGCTATAGTATATCCTACAATTGTTAGTATTGCATGCATAATTCTTCATGAAACTACCTGGCCATGATCACTTACCTCTTTAAGCTTCCAGTATATGATGACAAGTATGAAGTCCCAAGCTGCAGCTAGTGGTCCCGGTTCGATGGGTGAGATAGCAACAAGATCATGGACCAATAATGATACAATAACTGTGAACCTGTTCCATGACATCCAAGGGGGTGAGAATAAACAGATAACAAAAATGCATGAATGCTAATGCCCTAAGCTAAATGTTATGCAAAAATAGAAAGTAGAAAAGAAGAAAATAAAATCTTTTTGGAATTTTATAAAAAAATAAAAAAAAAATTGAATGCAAATTAGCTTAAAACTAAAATGGAATGCAACCTAACTAAAAAATGCATGAAAAAGTAAAAGTAAAAGGAAATGCCCCACCCCAAGCTTAAGAACAAGCATTGTCCTCAATGCTTAAGGAAAGGGCGGAAATGACCTAAATCGGAGGGTCAGGAGGCGGAAAGTGTCTGTGGCGGTAGTGGTAATCCCACATATCCTGGACTTGGCGAGAAGTGGATGGGAAGGACTGCTCCAGCCGATCAACACGGGTCACCAAATCCTGGATGGCCCGGGTGTTCTCCTGCGTCTGAGTATCGATACGCTGAATAGTGGAGAACATTGTGGCGAACTGGTCGAAGAAGGCAGGGGAAATATGGTGGGATCTCGTGTCCCCCTTGCTGCTGTTGTGGCTGATACTGAGGCTGGACAAAATGTTGTGGAGACCGAAACTGGTCATCTTCATAATCGACAAGAGGAGGGTAGTCGGATGGAATGACCCATTGTTCGGGGTCAGTTGGTTCGAAAGACCCTATATACTCGTGAGGAAGAATTAGGTATGGCTGATTATCAAGGTTCCATATGTGACCACCAACTGATTCGCAGATGATTTGCATCCGCCGGAGTGCGTTAATGTCAAGGCGAGAGGGCCCGGTCGCCTTTTCAAATGGAAGGGTGGAGAGATGAAGTTGAAGTGGGTGTCGAGATGCAATAAGGGTGATCAATCCCCCAATAAAAATGTCCACGGTGTCCATAGTGGTGAGATTGTAGCATTTGGTGAAGAAGAATGTTGCAAAATCCGGGTTGGGTCCGTTTTCACGAGTCATGCACCAAAGAAATAATAATTCAGCTTTAGAAATTTGACTCACTTTAGAGCGGGCAAAAATGGTGCATGTAAGAACTCGGTGGGCCAGGCGTAAACATGGATGAATGATTGGGGAAGCCTTGGAGGAAGATGATGAATATCGTGGTTCGTGAGTGATTTGTTGCCAAAAATGGTGTTCGTTAAAGGTGGTGGGCCAAGGATCCTGTTGGGAGTAAGTGTGGTCCACCGGGGTACCCATTAGAGCATTGACGACCCGAAATGGCAATGATCTACTCTCGCCTAGCATTTGGAAGGTGATGGTGTTCATACCGTCATCAATATGGAATGTGGAGAGGAATTTCAAGGTCGGCTTAGCGTAGGTGGCTGCACGATTATAAAGAAACTGACCCCAACCAATGTTGTCAAAAAGTGTCTGAACTCCATCTAGCACTCCGAGAGTTTCAAAAGACTCTCTATGGAGGAACTTTGTTGATTTGACCTTGCGCTTGTTCGAAACGAGAAAGTCATATGTTTTGTGGTCTCACGATTCAACAAACAAAATGGGGGGGGTCATTGGATTTGCCTTTCGACCCACCCTTAGATGAACTACGTCCGGTTTTGGCACGCTTAGACATTGTGGCACGGGAAAAAAATTTGACAACAATAATTTGCAAATCACACTAAAGACCATAAGGATGGCAGCACAATTCCAACAACATGGGTATTCAAGATGTAAATAATTAAGTCAAAGGAACGAATGTACCCAATTTGCTTATACCCGGAACAGATTGTGGAATCGGAATTGGAACCACCAAAGAGATTCTCCAAGGCACACCCCAAGCTTATGATTTTGCTCTGTGTTTTACGCTTGAATGGCTAGAACGACCAAAAAACGAGCTTCAATGTGATTTTCCAGCGACTAGAGTGGCGGCACTTGGAACCGGGCAAAAAATTTTGGTGAGTTTTTGGGGGAAATTGGCATGGTTAGAAAGCCCTTGAGAAAAGAAACAAAACACCATGCTCGGAATCTCCAACGGTGGCCGAAGTTGGCCGGAAAATGCGAAAGAAGGCGGCGGTGCGTGGTGGTGGCGCTCGGAATTCCGGCCACAAATCGGATCGAATTTTGGGGTGGGGTTTGTAGAGGATGAAAAATGGGAGAGAATGGCGGTGGTTTCACGTGATTCCGACCGACGGTTTGACGAGAAATTGGATTTTTGTGAGAAGTGGGTTATGTGTTCTTGAGAGCTTGAGAGAGAATGGTGGAGTGTGGTAGGGTTAGAACGAAGAAGAAGGGTTGCTGGGGTGATTAATCCATGGTCAAGAGAAGTCAACAGCCGGTCAATGTTAGTCAAATCATTAAACTCTTGGTCAAAAAAAGTCAAAACGAGTCAACAATAGGAAATCCAGTCAACTGTGTAACAAGCGGGCGTGGCGCGGGCCACATGCAGGTCGCGTCTAATATCCTCGAAACCCCCTAGTCCTTCTGATCCTTTACGCGGGCAAGACATGGGTCGCGGTTTGGCCACGCTTGCTGAAACGATGAAAAAATATGCTAAATGCTGGCAAGCCACGCAAGCTAGGCGCGGGTCGCGGGCCGGCCGCGTTTGCTGAACGGGTTTGGAGTCTTCTTCTATGCGACTTGAGAATGGGCCGAGCGGCACCCGCATGACACCTTACGCGGGCCGCATGGCTTGCAGACTAATCTTCTACGCGGGCCTCGGGTTTTCTGTACTTCAAAAATTCGAGAATTTCCAAAAACTTTCCCGCAAGGCCCGGTTTCAAAAATTTTGACAAAAGTTGGGAACACAATGGGAAAGAAGGGTGAAACCCTTCAAAAAATTTATTTTCAAAATCCCCAAAATGCTTTTTAAAAACAATTTATTGAATTTAAGAAGGATGAAAGCATAGCTTTCCAAAAATGCCCTTCTTTAACGTCTTTGGCGAGACGTCTTCCTTGCACGCTTCAACACATCGGGACATCCAAATGGATAATTTCAAGAGCATTAGCATTGAAGCCTTCATAAAATGGCTTCAAACGGTGCCCATTGACTTTAAAAATTTGTCCCGTCTTTTCGCTTTGAATTTCGACTGCTCCATGGTCAAAAGTCTTGATCACAACAAAAGGGCCAATCCACCTTGATCTTAATTTTCCCGGGAATAACTTCAATCGTGAATGGTAAAGTAAGACCCTATGCCCCGGTTCAAAATGCTTCCGGGTGATGGACTTGTCATGGAAAAGCTTCGTTTTTTCCTTATAAATCCTTGAGTTTTCATAAGAGTCATTTCTCAATTATTCTAACTCTTGGAGTTGAAGCTTCCTATGTTTTCCCGCCTCATCAACATTGAAATTGCATTGTTTGACCGCCCAAAATGCACGGTGCTCTAATTCGACGGGAAGATGACATGGCTTTCCAAAAACGAACCTAAATGGAGACATTCCTATCAGGGTCTTGTAAGCGATACGGTAGGCCCACAAGGCATCTTCGAGCCTCAAACCCCAATCCTTTCTTGTCGGATTCACTGTTTTCTCAAGAATACTCTTCACCTCACGATTTGAAACTTCTGCTTGACTGTTCGTTTGAGGGTGGTATGCGGTTGAGACGCGATGGGTCACGTTGTACTTTCTCAATAAAGCCTCCATCATCTTGTTGCAGAAGTGCGTCCCTCGATCACTAATCAACACCCTAGGCACACCAAATCTCACAAAGACATTAGACTTTAAAAAGTCGATAACCGTTTTGCATCATTCGATCTTGTGGCTTTGGCCTCAACCCATTTAGAAACATAGTCAACCGCAAGTAAAATATAAACGTTGCCAAATGAGATGGGAAATGGGCCCATGAAATCAATCCCCCATACGTCAAAAACTTCACAAACAAAGATTGGATTTTGTGGCATTTGATTTTTTTGTGAAATGTTTCGCGTCCTTTGGCACCGTTCACAGCTTTTACAAAACAAATAACAATCGTGTGACATGGTTGGCCAAAATAGTCCACAATCAAGAACCTTTCTCAAAGTTCGGTTAGGTCCGAAGTGTCCCCCACAAGCAAATTCATGACAAAATTGCAAAATGGATTGATGTTCTTGTTGTGGCACACATCGTCTAATGATTTGATCGGGACAATGTTTCCACAAATAAGGTTCATCCCACACATAGTATTTTGCATCACTTTTCAATTTATCTTTTTGAGCACGTGTGAATGTGTCGGGATACATTTTTGTGACCAAAAAGTTAACGATATCGGCATACCAAGTAATAGATTGAGTAAGGGAAAAGAGATGCTCATCCAAAAACTTCTCCCGCAACGGGAGAGGAGTTTCATTTGAAGTGATCCGAATTAGGTGGTCGGCAACAAGATTCTCGCATCCACTCTTATGCCGGATTTCCAAATCAAATTCTTGCAATAATAAGATCCACCGGACGAGTCTTGGCTTTGCATCTTTCTTTGTCATCAAGTACTTGAGAGCCGCATGATCCGAATAAACTATAACTTTGGTGCCAAGTAGATATTGCCTAAACTTCTCCAAATCGAACACTATGGCCAATAGTTCCTTCTCCGTGGTAGAGTAGTTGATTTGAGCATTGTCTACTGTCCTCGATGCATAGTAGATCATATGGGAGTCTTTTCCATTCTTTTGACCCAAAACGGTGCCAATAGCATAATTGCTTGCATCACACATGATCTCGAAGGGGAGATCCCAATTTGGTGCTTGTATGATGGGGGCGGATGTAAGCAATTCCTTGAGCTTGTCGAAATCTTCTTTGCATGCCTCATTGAACTCGAAATCAACCTCTTTTTGCAAGAGTTAGCACATTGGTCTTGTTATCTTTGAAAAGTCCTTGATGAACCTTCGGTAGAATCCGACATGACCTAAAAAAGAACGAACTTCCCGAACACAAGTCGGGTAAGGTAAACTTTGAATAACATCGAT